GGTGAGTGTAGCCTTCCTGATTCCCTACTCCCCTTCCCGCTCTGTCCTTCTCCTTTGCAACACTTAACACAATTGCAATTACATACTTCTTTGGGCAATGATTTAATGTCTTTTTCCCTTCCTTAGGCCATAAACTCCAAGAAGCCAGGAACTATGTCTGTCTCATTCAGGTTATAGCAAAATTTCTTGCAGTAAGTGCCCAGTAAATATCTGTTGAAAGTATAGATGGGGCTGTTCCAAAGAAGGAGGGAGGGAATGAATGAATGAATGAATGGGAGAATGAATGTAAGGTGGTACTGCCACCCATTAAAACCTGGGTGACAAAGTTCAGGTCATTGGCGTTGGCCCACAGTTTGTCGACTGGGTTGTAAGGCTGGAGAGAATTAATGGTGCTGAGTACTTGCTGTGCCCTAAGCCGTCAGAGAGGACTTTGTGGAGGCGGATTGGATGTTTCCAGCCTCTGTGGAAGGGAGCTACTCAAGGCAAAGGGAACTCAAGCAGGTGGGCATATGGAAATCCTACGGTTATCAGAGGAGACAGAGTCCCTGTTGCAGGTCATTTAGGAAATTAGAGTCACTTGGGGGTCATCAGAAGCGGTTGAATTGAGTTTGAACTTCACCTGTTGCAACAATGGGCTAGCTGCTGCACTAAAGCCTGAGAATCAGTGGCTCAGCTTTCTCCTCGGGCCTGCTGGCAGAGGCCTCGAGTAAACGGTCAACTCACCTCACCCAAGCCAGGGCAGCTGTCAAAGTCCCCACTTCACTGAGCTTAGAAACGTATTGTGAAATAAAACCATTGGTTTGAAGTTCTTGTCATGTCTGACATCTCATAATTTCTCAAGATTTACAGTCTGTTCTTGCTAGAGAAGTGTGCAAGCCATTTGGACCAGTGGTAGGGCCTGAGGTCCGAGGCTCAGAGACTGAAGTCAGACGAGGAAGGGGTGGATGTGAAACTTAGTGCTTTTGAGCAGAACTTCTCCTAGGGGAACGCAGGACCTTAGTGCATTTCTGCTGAATGAGATAACAAATTAAGGAGTAATTACTCATTGCATATGAGTAAATAAAGGTGTGTCTGGTCACTAAATCATGGGGGTAGGAGTGGGGTTAAGAAAGGCTTTGCAGAGAAGATGCTGGAGCTGAGTCTGAAAAGGTCAGAGCAAAGCCTGAAGCTTGTAAAGATAACCCGAAACCAGGGGCGGAATCCTAGTCCCACTTCCTCCTCCCACACCACGAGGCTCTAGCAAGTGCTAATTTCACTTGCACATGCAGTCTCCCCAGGGTTATTTATTATAAATTGCAGCCACAGGGCAAGGTCCAGACCTTTCCATTCCCAACTCGTCAAGGTCTCCCAAAAGCTCTCTGGCACCCAGAGAACAGTGTGTCCAGAGCTTAACCTGGAAGAGCACAGCCATGGTGCTCTGGGGTCTGGTGCTGGGAGCCCTGCTGGTGGCCATTGTGGGGTATCTGTGCCTGCTGGGGCTGCTCCGGCAGCGAAGACCCCAGGAGCCCCCTCTGGACAAAGGCTCTGTGCCCTGGCTGGGCCATGCCATGGCTTTCCGGAAGAATATGCTTGAATTCCTGAAGCATATGCGGGCCAAGCACGGGGACGTGTTCACAGTGCAGCTAGGGGGCCAGTACTTCACCTTTGTCATGGACCCCCTCTCCTTTGGCCCCATCCTCAAGGATGTGAAGAGAAAACTAGACTTTGTGGAGTATGCAGAAAAACTGGTGCTAAAGGTATTTGGATATCAGTCAATACAAGGAGACCACCGGATGATACACTCAGCCAGCACCAAGCACCTCATGGGAGATGGCTTGGAGGATCTCAACAAAACCATGCGGGACAGCCTGTCCTTGGTTATACTGGGACCCACGGGCCGGAGTCCGGATGCCAGGAGCTGGCGTGAGGACGGCCTCTTTCACTTCTGCTACAACGCCTTGTTCAAGGCCGGCTATCTGAGCTTGTTTGGCTACACAAAGGACACGGAGCAGGACCTGCGACAGGCAGAGGAGTTATTTGTGCAGTTCCGCAAATTCGACCGCCTGTTCCCCAGGTTTGTTTACTCCTTGCTGGGACCCCGGGAGTGGCTGGAAATGGGCCGGCTGCAGCGGCTCTTCCACAAGACCCTCTCCGTGAAGCAAAACCTGGAGAAGGATGGCATAAGCAACTGGATAGCCTACATGCTTCAGTTTCTGATGGAGCAGGGGGTAGCCCCGGCCATGCAGGACAAGTTCAACTTCATGATGCTCTGGGCCTCCCAGGGGAACACAGGACCTACCTCTTTCTGGGCCCTCTTGTTCCTCCTGAAGCACCCAGAAGCCATGCAGGCTTTGAGAGAGGAGGCTGCCCAGGTCCTGGGGGAGGCCAAGCTGGAGGCTGGGCAGCCTTTCAACTTCGAGGTCAGTGCGCTGCAACGCACCCCTGTGCTGGACAGCGTGATGGAGGAGACTCTGCGGCTGGGGGCAGCGCCCACCCTCCTCAGGGTGGTAAACGGGGACCATATCCTGAAGATGGCCAGTGGGGAGGAGTACCGGGTCCGCAGTGGAGACATCGTGGCCCTCTTCCCTTACCTCTCGGTGCACATGGACCCTGACATCCACCCCGAGCCCACTGCCTTCAAGTATGACCGCTTCCTCAACCCCGACGGCAGCCGGAAAGTGGACTTCTACAAGGCAGGCAAAAAGATCCACCACTACACCATGCCGTGGGGCTCCGGAGTCTCCATGTGCCCGGGCAGGTTCTTGGCCCTGAGCGAGATGAAGCTCTTTGTCCTGCTCATGATCACACACTTTGACCTGGAGCTGGTGGACCCCGCCACACCTGTGCCGCCCGTGGACCCCCAGCGCTGGGGCTTCGGCACCACACAGCCCAGCCACGACGTGCGCTTCCGATACCGCCTGCGGGCCCCTGAGTGAGCTCTGCCAAGGGGGCCGACAGCCTGGCCAGAGGGCTCCCTTGGGGTCTCCACCCCCTCCCGCCCCTCTGAAGCCCCAGACCCCCTCTGCCTACCGCTCCCTGTGGCTCTGTGGCATCCCCTACCTCTGTCCTGTGGTCTGCCTTGCTCTCATCTCCTGGCCACCGCACAAGCCTATCATTCTCTCTTTGGAACACCGTCTCTCACAGCGGGTCTGCAGAAGCGCCCTTTCGCGGAGGTCCAGGGAGGGGGACGGTCTGGGAGTCAGCGCTCACACCTCAGCCAGTGCTGCGGCGCAGAAGCTGGCTCCTGCGAGGGGCATCTTGCAGATGTGAGCCCCACCCCCAGCTTTATCTTTTTCCATGTCTTCTGGAATACACGGTCTAGAGCCGTGTTGTCCGATAGCAATACAGGGCGAGCCATGTGCCATGTTTAATTCCCTAGTTGACACATCTTATAAAAGTAAACAAAACAAATAAAATCCATTTTTATAATATATTTTACTTACCCCCATAGATCCAAAATATTAACATTGCAACATGTAATCAACATTAAAAATACATTTTTTTCATATTGCCTTCTGAATCTGGTATTATAAATGGGATTTATTGGGGTGACATTGGTTAATACAGTTATATAGGATTCAGGAGTACAAGTCTGTAATACAGCATCTGTATATTGTATTGTGTGTTCAGAAATCTGGTAGGCACGTTTTACCCTTGCAGTATGTCTCAGTTCAGGCCGGCCACATTCTGAGTGCCCAACGGCCACGGGGCCAGCGGCTGCCACACGGGACGGCAGGCCTGGAGGAACGCTGCCCTCACGTAGGAGTTATCCATGCACTTCCCTCCTCTGCTGGCCCTGCTGCCAGGGACCTTTTTCCAAAAGCTTCTCTAATTGCCACTGTTTTATTTCCTGGCTCCCCATCCCCTTCACGCATCACGCTTAAGTCTTGCCACAGTTGGTCCCCAAATCTCCCATCCAGTGCAGTTCGGCTTGGCCAGCCTTCCCAGTGGACCTGTCTGCAAAGCACAGATGCTTGCTTTCCCGCCAGCCCGGTGCCAGCTCTCCTGGGAGCCCTCTGGCCCTTCCCATCCGCTGGCCTCCAGATCCGGGGATCCCCGAGCACACTGCGCATCACAGTCCATGTGACATGTCCTTGCTCTCTGTCCTGGTTTTCTCCTCCCCCTCTTCCCCACTCTGGGGCCCCGGGGCTTGGTATCTTGTTCCTTCATTTCTGACCCCCCCCCCAACCCCCGGATGTAGATTAAATTATAGAAACCTGACTTCCAGTCTCGGCTCATTTACTTTGTGTCCCCAAATCACTTCCTTCCCCTCTGTGTAATCACTCAGCTTTTGGGCGTATGAGCTGGAGACAGCCCCGCTCCAGGCGTGCTCACAGGGCTGGGGAGGGGAGAGGGCGCTGCTGCCGAGCTGCAGCTGGCGGACGGCAGGCCCTGGCTGGGGCTGTGACGGTGAGCTGGTGAGGGTCCTGCGGGAGGGAGGCCCAGCAGCATGGACCCCCTGCAAGGACCGCTCCCCCATGGGGCTTCTCTGCTGCTCCTATCCCACATCCCTGACTGGCCTCTTCCTTTCTGTTGAGGTTGCCTGTTCTGCCCTGAGTTTTGCCAGGGTCACAGACTATTAGAGTGGGCAGGGGCCTGGGCTGGGGACAGGAATCTGTCCCCACCAGCTATGTGATTGTGGGTCTGGGCCTACCTTTGTCTGGGTCTAGCTGCCCCCAAATGATGACCTCTGCCTGGATCGTGCTTGAGCTTCCACAGGTTAGGAAAGATAGGATATCCCATCCTGTTCCACAAGGGCCAGGAGCACAAAGAGGACTTAGCGGGGAGCACAGGAGAGGGAGAAGGGGGCTGGGAGGCTGGGGGCCATCCAAGGGGAGCTCCCCAACAACCTGCCCACATAGCCAGGCCCTGTGCCAGAGCAGGTGTGGATGGAGCAAGGCGACGGGCCTGCACATAGCTCCCTGCCCCTGCCTGGACCGAGGAGCTGCATCCCGTTCTTTCCCCCACACCCAGAGGATTGTGGACCGGGAGCCCCACACCTAAAGGCATGTGGACCGAGAGCCCCACACCCAAAGGAATGTGGACAGGCTGGGGAAGGGGTGAGGCCCAATTCCAGAGTCAGGGCCAAGAGTCTCAACCAAGAGCGAACTTCATGGCTCCTGTGACCTACTTGAGGGTATGCGGGGGACCGAGGGAAGGCGCGGTGGGTCGGTGTGAACAGGGTTCCATCCCGCAGCCCAGGGTGTCCACCGTCACAGCAGGTCTGCCAGGAAGCAGTGAGCACCCGGACCCAGGGTGAGCACGTAGAGGCCAGTACCCGCCGCTGGCACCTACCGGCGGGGTAGGGCCCTGGCACCTGTGGTTCTCTGGGGCCTGCTGGAGACACCCTCTACAAGGGCCACCGTCCCTCCCTGGCAGAGGCCTCGAGGCAGCGGGGAGACTGAGACCCCCAGGGATGCATGCAGCCACTCCCTGTCCTGACCCCGCTGTTCTGTCCCCATTTCCTCACTTCTGCCCCAGTTTCTTTCTCCCTCGAAGAAAAGTCCACTCTGTGTATTCTGCGAGGACAGCTAACGACACAGCAATCAGGGATGACATGCCAGTGTAGAAACAGATGTTTTCCTAGGCAGCAAGTGCCATGAACACTCAGCACGCTTCACAGGTGGAGGGTGGGCAGCCCTGCTCCCGGGCAGAGCCGTGGGTGCCCTTCCCCCCCGGGCAGCTCCCCAGCTGCTGCATCTCCAGCGTGTCCTAACTGCTGGACCCTGGAGCCACCACCAAGGCTGCGACATTAAACAACACAACAGTCTTCCCCCAGCTGAACTAGAGCAGCCCAGGGGGCGGGGTGGGCCTCGGGAGACCGGAGTGCAGGCTGAGGGAGCTGCGGTCACTCCGGCTGTTGGGTGCAGGTCAGATGACAGGAGAAGGTGACGGCGGGAAAGAGAAGTCAGCTGGGCAACCGTTGCAGCAGTTCAGGGAGGATGACATCCCGGAAGGAGCGAGCGGATACTGCCGAGGGTTGAAAACTGAGAACTGACGGCTGGTTTAGCAACATGGTCTCTGAAGCCCTTCGAGGGTCTCTGAAGCTCAACGGCACTGGGTCCCATCTGCTCTCACCAGACTGTGGCATGGCTGCTTAGGCTTCATTTTCTCCCATGCCCCCCTTGTCGGGGGCGTCCTCAGCCCGCCTCCCCCTGAGGTCACCCATGCTGGTCATTTCTTCTTGGACAGTGAGGCTGCTACTCTCACAACAGCTGGACAGTGGGGCCTGGGCAGGGCAAGCTGCCTGGTGCCGGCCAAACACGGCGGCCAGGAGAACCTTCAGGTACTGGGAGAAGCCTTGGATGAAGAAGGCATAGAGGATGGGGGTGAAGCAGCAGTGAAGGAAGGCGATGCTCTCTGTTACCTGCATTGTGTAATCCAGGTACTGGCTGGCCTTGCAGTTCCCAAAGACTTTCAGGTCCATCAGCGAGTGCAGGAACAAGGTGAGGTTGTACGGGAACCACAGCACGAAGAAGGCCACCACCAGGGCCACAGCTATCTTTAGAGCCCGGCCCTGGCCTGGGGGCTTCAGCCGGACTAGGACAGAACCGATGCGGGAATAGAAGAAGATCATGGTGAGGAGTGGAATGAAAAACCCCAGGATGTTCTGCTGGAAGCGGAGGAAGAGCTTCCAGAAGGTCCCATGCCCCCCGAAATCTGGGTAGCAGCTCCACACACCCGCGGGGAATTCATGCATCTGCACAAAGACCATGTCAGGGATGGAGACAGCCAGGGCCACAGCCCACACTATGACAACCAGGAGCCAGCGCTTGGCCCGGGTCCTCAGCCTGTGGTGGGGCTGAGCGTGGACGATCTCCAGGTACTTGTCCAAGCTCAGGCTGCTAATGAAGAAGATGCCGCTGTAGAGGTTGATGTTGTAGAGAGCACTCACCGCCTTGCACATGAAGCCCCCGAAGACCCAGTGCCAGACCACGGAGACGATCCAGAAGGGCAGGGTCACCACAAACAGGAGGTTGGAGATGGCCAGGTTCAGCAGATAGACCTCCGTCATCCGCCTGCGAGGCACATACCGGAGCAAGACCACCAGAAGAAACAGGTTGCCACTCAGGCCCAGCACGAAGACCAGGCTGTAGAAGATCGGCAGGAAGACTTTGCCAAAGGACATCACAGAGTCCTTCCTGCAGAGCATGAAGGCCACCTGGTCCAAGTAGTCTTCATAGTCATAGTAGACGCTGCTGTTCTCAGAACTGGCGACCTCGGTGGTGAGCGGCTGAAGGGCGGTGGCGGTGGCCATGGCAGGAGGGTACGCCCCGACCTAGAGCTCTGCAGACCAGAGAGTAGTGAGAGAGAAGAGATGAAGCCAGGCAATCCCTGCCTCTCTTCAAACCCAGTTTCTACCGCTCTGGGATGTCCCCTAAGCGTGGGCACAAGTGTGGGGAGCCCGAGCCTACCACTGAAAGGTAATGTCACCTTGGGGAGGTGACAGCCTCAGGTGTTCTCATAGTATTCACTTCTTTCATTATTGTTTCTCTTCTTCTTTTTTTGTACAGACAGAGTGGGAGGGAGAGAGAGGAAGAGAGAGAGAGGGAAACATCGATGTGAAAAGGACACATCGAGTGGCTGCCACCCGCACGACCAACCAGGGCCGGGGACAAACTGCAACCGAGGTACATGCCCTTAGCCGGAACCGAACCCGGGTGTCTCCGGACCGCAGGTGGACGCTCTAACCGCTGAGCCAAACCGGCCAGGGCTATTGTTTCTCTTCTTTATTTTCTCCCTCATCATTTAAAAAGACTGGGACTGTCTTTCCGAGTTTTCTTTATTATTTAGGGTGACCGATTCACCTACTGACAGTGTCTCCATACTTTTCCTCATGTGTGGCTTATTCTTTGTGCAGCTTATAATTCTTTTAAAATGAGAGCTTCTCTTCAGTGGGCCTGTTTTATCTATAAATGTCTAGTGTACCCACTCTGGCTTTGAGCCTTCTTTACTTCCATCACCTGAGAATTTCCCTTGCTTTTATTTCAAAGTATTTCATTTATAAATAGTGTTGTATATCAACATTTTCTTTTATATTTAATATTTTTAATATCTATGTATCCAGTATGTTCAGGTTTGTAGCAGAAAGGTATGATCCATCATGTTTATAGAAACAACTAAACTTTTTCATCCTTCAGTGTTCCCATCTTTATTTTTTTATATTTTTTGTTAATCCTCACCTGAGGATATTTTTCCATTAATTTTTAGATAGAGTGGAAGAGTGGGAGGGGGAGAGAGAGAAACATCAATGCAAGAGACACACATTGATTGCATGACACTGACCGGAGCCAGGGATCGAACCTGCAACCCAGGTATGTGCCCTTGACCGAAAATTGAACCCGCAACCCTTCGGTCGGCAGGCCATCACTCTAACTGCCGAGCCAAACCAGCCAGGGCATCTGTCTCCCCGTCTTTAAAATGATAATGATAATACTGCCTACTCATGGGGTTCTCGTGGGGCTTGAATACGACAATCCATGTGCTGCACTTCATGCTCTATGAAGAGTGCCTAGAACAGCGGGCCTTCAATACAGCTTAAATTATTGCTTTGACCAGAACTGAGTCCATCACCTTCCCACCAGTCTCTCCTCCTCTCCTGTGTCTACCCAACTGACTGGCACCACCAACTACTCATTCACCTAAGGCTGAAACGTGGGAAACATCCCAAATTCCTTCCTCACCCTCCTCACCACCACCCTATTGCCTTTTGAATATGTCCACTCTCTCCAAGTCCCATAAAAAATATATACAGGGTATTCTTTTAATAAAATTAAGACAAATGCACCATATATATAGGAGTTCAAAGAGACGAAAGGGAACGCTAGGGAGGGACAGGCACAGGGTTCAAGAGGGCAGCTGCCTGGCAGGAGAAGCCAGAGGCACGGTATGGGGGCAGGTCACCCTCCACGGGCAAGTTCCTCTGGCGTGGTGGTTTCCCAAGTCTTAATGGTATTATTAAAAATAATGTGTAGCCCGGCCAATGTGGCTCAGTGGTTGAGCGTTGACCCACGCACCAAGAGGCCATCAGTTCGATTCCCGGTCAGGGCACATGCCCAGGTTGTGGGCCCGATCCCCCGTGGGGGGCATGCAGGAGGCAGCCAATCGATGTTCTCTCTCATCGATGTTTCCATCTCTCTTTCCCTCTCCCTCCCTCTCTCTAAAATCAATTAAAATAATTTAAAAATAATAATTTGCAGAAGAGAGCGTCACATGAAGCAGTGATAAGAGACTGTCATGAAGCAAGGCTTACGTTGCTTCCCGGACAGAAAGATGTCATGTTCAGTGCCCTAGGTTGCTCAGCAATGGGACAGGTTATGAGAAAGAGAGAGGAAGGAAACAGAAAGGAGCATGTGGCCCAAGCAGGTCACCCTGCACAGCCGCCAGAGAGGAGCCCGGAAGCTGCTGATGAGCCTGGGCCACAAAGAGAAACAGAAACCAGCCCCACCTGTTCCTCTGCATTCCAGCTGTTACTCTTTGATTTCAGTGAGATTGAACTTTCTCATATGTTCAACCAGTTTGTATTTGTTCTGTGAACGATTTGTTTCACTGGGTGGGATTCTCATTCTATAAAAGGTTTTATATAGTAAGAAGTTCAGCTGTTTATAGATGCTGTAAATATTTTCCCCAGTCCTTCCTAATAGAAGTTTTGTCTATATTTTTTTCCAGGTAGGATTTTGAAATGAATGTTGACTCACATTTCAGCTGACCCTTCTAGTTTCCTTGACCCCGTGATCTCATAGTTGATGGAAATATCCGATGCTGCTGAGGCGGGGCCTCTCCCAGGGGAGCCCCGGAGTCCTCCTACGCCTTGGTCCCACCCTTGGGCTCCTGTCACATGGCATCTGGGCCAGATGTTCGAGAAAACCACCCACACCCACACCCTGTCGGCATTCCAGGAGCTCAGAGTGGGTGGCTTTATCCAGGGCCAGGCTCTGCCCTTGACCGGCCTCAGGAACTTGGCCCTGTGCCTTCCTTTCCTGGCTCTCCATTCCGCTTCTGGGCATCTGAGGTCTCCTGTCCCTGAGCCCTTCCCCTTCCTGGGCAGCAGCGAGAACACCCCCACGCATGGCTGGTGCGGGGAGTCTGTGAGCTGCTGCGGTTGAGAGAAGGAGGTGCCCCTCTGCACTTGGACCTGATCTGGATACATTTGTCAGGAGTTATCGCTAATTAAACACCAGCAGTTCTGGTCTGTCAGCACTGAACTTGATCCTGACATGTTTTCTCAAGGTCCTTGACTTTTGCTTTAATAAACAACCCAGCCTGATGACTGCTTTGATCGAAGCCAGATGTCAGGGTCAGCAGGGCCTAGGTTAGACCATACCACCTGGAACCCTCTGTCCCCTTACCTCTCAGGGCCTCTGGCCTCCTGACCTTCCACTCTGGGAATCTTTCCAGGTCCTCTTGACCTCTGAGGCCAGCAGCCAGCCCCTGCCATCACTTTCATCAACAGTAGCAACCACTACCCCCAGCTCACACGGTAACTGGCCAGCATCTTCATAGCACTGTGGCCGTGCTGGAAGGCAAACTACAAGGAACTGTCAGCAGCACCTAACCCAGGAGCAAAGCAACTTTTTCACAATCACATAGGAAGTCACTGGTTGAGCTGCATCTGAGTCCGGGGGCTTCAGACTTCAGGAGCGGTGCCTTGTCTGGCCCCACCTCATCCTCTGCTCTGACCCAGCTTACCAAAAGCGAGAGGAGTGACCTGGGCTCAGGTCTTGGTTGCCCAGGACATTGTCCTCACTGGCTGCTCTAGCCTCTGCTGAGCCCACCGTTAATGCCCCCTAGGCTTCACCGAGCCTCCTTGCAAAACGCAGCAGGTAACGGTTTCACAAAGATCTCCACCTCCTAGTTTCTGCAGCCTGTGAATATGTTCACTTCTACATCAAAAGGGATTTCACATGTGATTAAGGTAAGGATCTCAAGATGGGGAGAGTATCCTAGATCACCCAGTGCAATCGCAAGGGTCCTCATCGGAAGGAGGCAGGCACAGCGAGTGGGAAAAGGTGTGACAGCGGAAGCGGAAGTGAGCGATGGGGCACAATGAACGCAGGCGTCCCCCTGAAGCTGGAGGAGGCACGGGTCACAGTGCAGCTGCTGACCCCTTGTCGACTCCTGACCTCTGGAACATTAAGATGATACTTTTGTCTTGCTTTAAGCCACTGATTTTGTGGTTTTTGATACAGTTGCAATAGGTAACATATTTCCTGTGACTTTTTGTGCCTCCGAATCTCAGGCTGAGGGAGTGAGAGAGAGTACATCCTATCTTCCTTCTTCAACCTACAGGTGGGGAAACTGACTCAAAGAAGGGGAGCAACTTGTGCAAAGCATACAGTGTGTAGTCAGTGGCTGGACTGAGCCATGAACCCATGTTCCTGGTTCCCTCCACCCCAACTGTCCCTCTAGCTCCACCCTGGTTTTTCCCTTTTTGTTCTCACTTTTCCTTATTGCCTGAACCCACTGTTTAGCCAGGAACACCTTAAGAGGAATGAATGAGGGCATCGGTTATTCACATTCTACTATGAATTACCAGGTAGTAAGACAACCTGGATGAAGCTCTGTAGTAAAACTTCTGGGAAACCCAGAAAACTATACACAGGCTAGAGAGGGAGGCTTTCTAAGGGAGGGATAGCAAGGACAAGGGCAGCTGAGCTTCCCCGACAGTGAAGCCCAGGGCACAGAGGCAAACCACAGCTTATCTCTAGGGCAATAACATCATCCTCTCGGTGACTTCCTGAGGCTGCTGGCCTCGGCTGGCTCCAGCTTTGACTTAGCGAGAATTTCTGGCCAGAGAGGATGCCTCTTCCCGAGGATCTCAAGGCCTCTCAGAGAAGTCTCAGGGGAGGAAACAAGAGAGAGGATAATGCTACATGCATCTGCCCGCACAGGAAGGAGTCACGTTAGCTGAGCTCCTTCGATGAGCTACACACTCCCATGGTGGTGGGTGGGCGTCACGAAGGAGAGAGGGGAGGCTCCGATTTGCAGCACTTTCCATGGTGTAAGTATTCCTGTCCTGACCAGTTTCAATCCTCCCACGTAAACGGATGTAGAGTTGGCTAATTCTGTGACTGTGCTGAACGCCTCCCATGCCATTTCTCATGTAATCTCCTTTACCATCGTTCTGGGAAGCAGTGTTGTTATGACCCCCACTTTTCAGATGGGGAAACTTGAGGCTTGGAGAGATGAAGCCCAACTTTCCATGGCGTTGCATCAGCAAATGATGGACCCAGGCTTGGATGTCCTGAACAACACAAGGTAGACCTGGTGTCCCTTTCCCCCAGCTCCCCCTTTCAACATGACCAATGCTGGATTTGAAGGATGGGCCTCTGGTAGTGAGACTTCTAGCCTCATGATGAGTGGCAGGAAAGATTCAAAGTCAGCTGTGACCTGGAGCCAGCTCAGCAACGTCTGGGAGGCGTTCAGCACAGTCACAGAATTAACCAACTCCACATCCATTTACGTGGGAGGCTTGAAATTGGTCAGGGCAGGAATACTTACGCCATGGAAAGTGCTACAAATCGGAGCTTCCCCTCTCTCCTGCGTGACCCCCACCCACGACCACGGGAGCATAACCCTTCTCGGGACCCCCGTGGAGCCTGACCAAACGCCAACTGTCTCGCTATCTCCCTGCCTGTCTCCCACCACCGTCCCTCTCCACCTTCCATACATCCCACCGCCGCCCTCCTCCTGAGCCAAGAGCTCGTGAGGACAAGGTCACGTGGAAGTCCCCTCTCAGTGTCCACAGACACCATGCTGAGTGTGCTGGCCACAGTGCTGCTGAGACTAGTGGACAAATAAACAATAGCCACACCAGCTTTCAAAATGTAAAACAAAGCCTAACATTTGAGATCACTTCTAGTGGGCTCTCAGTTTTGTTGGTTTCCTTACAACTTAAAAATCATATCCTTTAAAATGTGATCTAGCCCTGGCTGGTTTGGCGCAGTGGTTAGAGCATCAGCCTGCGGTCCAGAGAGACCAGGGTTCGGTTCCCACTAAGGGCACGTACCTCGGTTGCAGTTTGTCCTCAGCCCTGGTTGGGTTGTGTGGATGGCAGCCACTCGATGTGTCCCTTTCACGTCGATGTTTTTCTCTCTGTCTCTCCCTCCTACTCTATCTGAACAGAAAATGAAAAAATGTTCTCAGATGAGGATAAAAAAATAAATAAATAAAATGTGATCTAAACCCTCCCTTCCCAGAAGCCTGCCAGGGCCGCTGACCTAGTATAAACCCTGCCCCAACCCCGCAAGCACTCACAGGTCACTCGTCAGCCTCAGTACCCACCTCCTGAGAGCACAGTCACCTTTTTTTTTAAATATCTTTTTTTAAAATATTTTTTCTTTCTTGATTTTAGAGAGAGAGGACAGGAGAGAGAGAGAGAAACATAGATGAGAGAGAACATTGATTGGTCGCCTCCTGCATGCCCCCCACTGGGCATGTGCCCTGACCGGGAATCGAACTGGGACCTCCCAGTCCATGGGATGATGCTCAATCCACTGAGCCACACCAGCTGGGCCAGAGTCACCTTTTAAGGATCCACTGGCCTCCTGTGACAGACGGGCGTGTCCCAGGGGTTGGAACTCACCAGCACAGGGCCAGAAGCAGGCATCAGACGACCGTGGAGTTAATCAGCAGTCACCCCTCTCCCTCCCTTCTCTCTCCTCATTTCCCCTTATCTGGTTTGCTGCCTCCCCACTGGTACTCTGCACACAGCTGAGCCAAGACGCTCCTGAGAGTTGTTTTCTCAGCCTGGGCCAGCTCTGCCCAGCAGCCTTGGGAGCCCGTGACCGTGCAGCGTGACTGGCCCAGAGGCCCCGCTATTTCCACTTGAGTCATGCTCAAATGCCACTTCCAGCTGAGCAGCTTCCCTGGACCAGGGTCATGGAATATGCCCTGTGGCCTCCCAGCTCCTGCCCTCAGGCTCTCCCAGCTGCCTCGGGAGGACGGGGGCGGAACAAGTTCCCAACTGGACACCACCCTGGCTCAGCCCGGGACGGGTCCCCTCTGCCTATAACTCTGGCATTTCCAGCTTGCACGCCCAGCACAGCTGTGGCAGGACTGAGGCAGGAGCGGTGAGATAGCTCACACCACGACCACCGGTCTGGCTGCAGAGAGTGCTCTCGTGCTAGGCTGCCTTTGCGGGAACGGTTTACAGTGCTGGGGTCTCTACTTTCCTCCTTCTGGAACTGGGGAAGCACCAGCTACTCAACTCTGCTGTGTATCTAGCGGTAACCAAAATAATGATAATGCCCACCACTTACCTGGTGCTTACTATGGGCCAGGCTCTGTTCTCAGAAGTTTACACACGTCAGTTCGTTTCAGCCTTGCAAGGACACTCCGACGCAGGTACTGACAGGAGGAAGGGCATGTAATAAGGATAGAACCACAGTTGTTTGATTATTCACCTTATTCATCATAGATCAGAGGTCTTCTTACAGACCCTGGGAAACTGGAGGATGTGTTTCAAAAAGAAAAACACGACTGTAATGAGCCCAGATGGGTCCATTCCTCAGAAAAGAAGACACATTTGAAGAGCAGATCAAGGACAGGACATGCCTTGACTTGGTTGCTATGCCTGAACCCAGGCCCCCTCCAGGAGTTTGCCTCAGGACTGCTGACCCGTCTGCAGTCCCAGGAATAGGCTAAGCTGTTTATAACGTCATAGAAGATTAGCCACTTTGTTATCAGACTTCGAGTTCCTGAAGGCCAGACTGCAGACCCCACCCTCTCCTTCCCCTGTTACATTTGTAGCTCCCAGCTACACATAGCTGTCTCCCTCACCTGTATATAATCAGCCAGTTGTCAAGGGGGTCAGAGCAGAATTTCCAGGGTGACCTGCTGCTCTCTCCATTGTTTCAGCATTACTGGGATAAACGCTCACATATGATTCAACCCTATCTTTACTTAATTTGGCTCAAGTAGTGATAGGCAGCCTCAGACCCAGTTGGTGTCTGGTAACAGTACAATTATTATCTCTATTTTACATGGGAGGAGAATGACTTTCAGAGAGGCTAAGGAACTTCCCAAGGCCACACAGCTATTAAGTCGCAGAGCTGGATTTGAAACCGGGTCCAGGATCCGGGCTAGCTCATTAAAAAGGAGAGGAAAAGGATGGGGACTTAGACATGGAGATGTGACAGGAGACCAGGCTGCTATTGTTCGGGGTGTCTGATAGAAGGCTGGCTGAGAGATTGATGGTGTGGGAATGAAAAACAGGAAGAGGACCTGACAGCCACAAGAGAGGACGCGAGGGAAGGAGCCCAGTGCGCGGGAATGACTCGCAGGGAGAGAATTCATGAATGACCAGCTCAGGGCGGGGCGGGGGCGCCGCTTCACCTCTCAGCCCTGCCAGCACCAGACAAAGCTGAGGCTTCCTTCTGGGGCCTCTAACGTCCACAGACCTGTTTTCTCATCCATAGAATAAAGACAGGACTCTGTGAGGATTGAGTCTGGAACAATCATTTTAACAGCTAACACCGTGGAACCCTGACAGGGTGCAGGAGGCTGGGGAAAGGGCCTTTCCATGTATTAATTCCTTTATTCTCTCATTTACCTTATGGGAGTTAAATACTATTATTAACCCTGTTTTACAGCGGAGGACACAGGCACAGAGAGGTTAGGGAACTGGCCCAGTGCCACAGAGCAAGCGAGCAGTAGAGCCGGGAGCTGAAAGCCAGAGGCACGCTCTTAAACACTGAGTTACTTTACCGCTCAAGTAAACACTGAGTTACTTTATTTTCTCAAGGAAAATAACAAGCCAGTTGCGGTCCCCTCCACCAAGCTCTATATGTTACACATCAAGGCACTCACTGCTCATGACAACCTTATGGGACAAGTCCTATTATTATTCCTATTTTACAAATGAGAAAATGAAGCTCAGAGAGGGTGAGTAATGTCTCCAAGACCCACAGCAAGTGGACTTCAAGACTGGAAGTCAAGTGCCTGCAGTCAGCTCTGGAGCCTGAGCCTGAACCACACCCTGGGAGCTGAGCCCTCTCCTCAGAGGCACAGGACAGCGGCCCTCTGCATGGCCCACCATGGGAACTGCTGCATTTGGATTCAGTGCGAGGTAAAAAACACAATGAAGACAACAGCACCCAGACATTTACACGGGGCTTGTACTTCCTGAGGCTTTTTTTTTTTCTTTATCCTTACCCAAGGACATTTTTGCATTCATCTTCAGATACAGCAGGAGGGAGAGAGGGGGGAAGAGAGAGAGAGAAACATTGACATGAGAGAGACACATTGACTGGTTGCCACCCACACGACCCCAACTGGGCCGGGGACAAACTGCAACCAACATACGTGCCCTTAGCGGGAACCGAACCCTGGACTCTCTGGTCCGCGGGCCAACGCTCTAACCGCTGAGCCAAATCGACCAGGGCCCTGAGGCTTTTTTATACCCAGTCCTCACAGGTCTTCCTGGCTCCCTGGTGAAGGGACAGCACGGGTCACCTCCCTGGTTTCACGAGAAGCCTGGGGCCACCCCACAAGCTAGGCAGAGCTGACCCTGGAGTCCTACCACTGACTGAGTCCTGGACCACTGAACACACACTCTCTTTCTTCCCTCTTTACCATGTATTTTCCCTCGTTACAGTAGTAATATATGCTCAGTGTAAAATATGCTAATACAAGAAAAAAGCAGAAGAGAGGCTGGCCGGTGTGGCTCAGTGGTTAGTGTCGACCCATGCACTAGGAGGTTGCGGGTTCGATTCCTGGTCAGGGCACATGCCCAGGTTGTGGGCCCGATCCCCAGTGGGGGGCATGCAGGAGGCAGCTAATCCATGTTCTTTCTCATCAATGTCTCTCTCTCTCTCTCTCTCTCATTCTCCCTTCCTCTCTAAAATCAATAAAGAAAAATTATTCTTTAAAAATAGAAGAGAGGTTAAAAAACACCCCATAATCCTATACTCCCTTCCCCCGACCCCGATAACCTTTGGGAACGTTTTGGTGTATCTCATCTTTCTTCATGCCCAGGGCCTGTCGGCTGCACAAACCTCCAAAGATTTGTAGAATCAGAGTCTGGCTGGAAGAGAGTGGCCTTGTCCGGTCTCCAGCAGGGCCACCCAGTGCCTCCTGATTGATGGTGCCTCCTACTCCCTGGAAGACATGAGGCCCGCCTGTTCCCCACACTCCCTGGGACCCCACACCACTCAGTGTTTTCCTGCCTCTTATCAGGAAACGGGGAAGTTTGTGACATTGATAAATCATAGGCAACCCATCCTCCCAAAGCTTACTTCAGTTAATAAAAACCAGTTTTACAGACTGACTCTTCAAGAAGCTACTGCAGCAAAAGAAACAGATTTTGACATCTTTCCCCAATTATTCTTGCTTTTTGTTCTTGCCTCTGTCATTGTTGCCTGAAATTCTACCACCAGACCTCTTTGCATTTGTATTTCAGCATTTGTGCTAGTTCAAAATGAAACACAACCAACGCCCCCAAGGAGGTGGTACACTCAGCATGGGACAGCGTGGAAGGGCAGACGGCATAAATTGGTCTACTTCTTAATGGCTGAATAACCCTGGGGAAATTACTTAACCTCTCTGAACCTTAGTTTTATCACCTATAAAATGCCTCCTTGGTGGAGTTTTCATAATAATTGAGTACGTAACTCATAACTATTGGTTCCCTTACCGGCCCGGAAAGGACCCTTGGTGCCGTCTGGGATGGGTCAGGGAGAATCCTGGGGCTGTACGAGGTAGGAGGGACGAAGAACGTGGCGAGGACGGTCATGAGAGGACAGGGAGAACAAGGAGGGTGGACATGTGCAGAAATACACAGAGCTGAGCAACCTCAGCCCTAGGAGAGATCCTTAAGGATCATCCATCTGTCCGCATCATAGTCCAGCTGGGGAAACTGAGGCCCATAGAGGAGAGGAAATGCCTGAGGTCCCCCAGCCACACCTGATACCAACTCAAGGGTTTTCAGAATCCACAAAGCAGATTCTCAAAATCAGAGTAAAGTGGGGAGGGGCCAGCAGACCCCCTCTCCCCCCAGCTACCGGGGCAACTGATCTAACAGTTGCCCTAGAGAGTGAGCTCCACAGCGACCCGCTAGCACCTCCCTCTCCCCCCACATTTACCCATGCTCAGGCCACTGGGTCCAGTCTCCCCTGCAGTACCTGGGCAGGGCCAGGCCCACTCACCTGGGGATGTACACCCAGCGCACAGGAGAGCAGCAGCGCCTGGTCCTTCTTCCTGGGGAAAGTGCAGAGGGAGTGCTCTTCCTCCTAGCTCTTCCCCTCTCTGGACAACATCCTTCACACATCCTGCTTTGAGCCTGAAAAGCACCAGTGTGTGCCTGCCCCAGCCCCACCTCGCTGCATAGCCACGGACTGTTCCGCTGAACTAAGTTAAGCTCAAATGACCGCTCCCCCTCTCAGGAAGGAGTATCCACTCCCCAGCATAGTCTGGTTATTTTGGAAAACATGTATCCATAACCACACCTCTGGAAGATCCCCAACAGTTTCTGACCAGGGACAAGGGGTGGAGGAGCCAGAGTGGGGGAGATGGAATCTGTGAGTTACACACACCCAAGGTGACCCGTCTGCACATCTCAAGGGGGACAAAGAGGCTGTGATAAGTGGTGCTTTCTCCCTGTGTGCTGACTTTCTGAAGGGCTCTGGTCTCTGAGCTGCAGCTATGACGCCGGCCCCTAGGAGATGGTTTCTAACAGGGTGTCTGATCCTAGGGTGCCTTGTGCTGTGTGGGGCCGGACAGTGTGGCCTTGCGTGTTTGACCTTACCCTCGTCCCGCATGCGTGTGTACATGCATGTACACTCACACACACACAGTTTGTACTCCCTAGGAGTGCCTCCTGCCCTCACGGGGGGGGGGGGGGGGAGTGCACTGTCCCATGAGAGCAATGCAGAGAGTTGTTACAAGACTTCCTCTGAGCTGTGCCCCCTCCCAGGCCAAGGTGCCCTCTTCACTTGGCCTCGTGGCAAGCAACACTGTGCTTGAGGAACCCTGGGACACCGGCTGGATAGTGTGCAGACTCATCGCTGGTACCCCTTCCCCCTCTGGGTCTGCTGTTTCATCCACTGGGCTTCCTGCATAATCACTCCCTGCCCAGAGCCTACCTGTCCTTCAAAGTCCTGGATAGATCTAGCATCTTGATAAGTGATTCCTGACAAAAAGTCATGGCTAGGTGTCCTGGATCACATAGGAAGAAGATTCTAATGTGACGGCTCCTCCCCATCCATCCCTTGCTGCATCCTTGTCTTTAGGGGAGCTAACACCCTGGTCTAGCTTGCACATTATTTTGCAGGTGCAGTTGTAAACACAGTGAGCTTGACAGGAACTCAACCTGATGGGTGTAGCCAACTGCAAAGAATAAATCAACTATAATTGACCAAATAGTGTATATGAGCCATGGTTAAACCTCCCTTTGGGGAGACAGAGCTTTGGACAAGCAGCGAACCCCTTGAGTTTCATAACACCTTATCTAGGCAGCCCCCCAACCTCCAGCTTTGTTGATCCTGGACACCTCCCCAGCAGGATCCTCCCCCATCTTCCCCACCTCTGCTTCTCTGATGACAGCTCCCCAAGCGGTACAGTGTCTGCAATCTTCTCACCCCCTAGGCTTTCTAAACCCTCTTCCCTCTTTCCCCTGCTCCTCTCCCCGACCACCTTCAATGCAGCGAGTGCCTCTCTCTGTGTAGCTAGCTGCCTATCTACTTGTCTGCTGCCCGACTGGGCCAGGAGCGTCCAGGGCAATTACTATATCTGAGCCACCAGCCCGAGCCCCGGGCTGGGCAAGAGCAGAGCCTGAACGCAAGGATATGTGTGTGATACACTGTCTGCTGTATGTTTGGCAGGATGAGGGGACCTCTACCCAGGACAGCACCTTTGGTCCAGGGTCACTGTCTCAGCCACCTTCACCCCTGGCCTCAGGGCCAGCCTGACGCACAGCAGGTGCTTGGTGAACGCTGTTGCCTCTACCTGAACTGAGCCGTAATCGAATAGTGCCAGGTGGTTAGAGGCGCCGGCACCGGGATCACACAGAGCGGGGCCTCTGTGTGACCTAGAGATGGCGGCTTCTCTGAACCTCAGTTTTCAGATCACACTGGTGGTGGTGACGGTGCCTTCCTCAGCCAGGCATGAAGCTGCATGTTCCCAGAGAGGTGCACGAGGACCTAGACATTTGCTTTTTCTTAGAATCCACAGGCCACCTAGAGCGGAGGCCAAGCCTGTGACGGGTTCTCACTCCAACAGAGGGGAGGAGGGTTTCCAAGCGGGTGGGTCTCCAAGTCTCGAGACCACGTGCTAGTTACCAGCAGGGAGAATAAGGCCCAGCAACCGCTCAACCACAGCCACAGAGACCTGGTTCCATCCTGAGGGACAGCTGAGTCCTAGAACCTGGGCTCTTTGCTCATACCCTACGCCTCTTTTTAAACCTTTTTATTTCAAAATAATACTTAGACTTGCAAAAATAGCACAAAGAATTCCTGCAGACCTGTCAACCAGCTTCCCTTAATGTTAACATCTTACAAACCACAGTACAATACTCTAAGCCAGGAAATTAACATTGACACAATACTATTAACTAATCTACAGACTTTATTTCAATGTTACCAACGTCCTACCTGTGTCCTTTCTCTGGTCCAGGATCTAAAGCAGAATCTCACATTGCATTTGGTTGCTGTGTCTCCTTAATCTTTCCATTCCATAACAGTTCCCTAATCCTGCTTTGGCTTTCATAACCATGACAGTTTTTTGTTTGTTTTGCTTTTTTTAACCTCACCCAAGAATATTTTTCTATTGCTTTTTAGATAGAGTGGGAGGGAGGATGGAAGGGGGAGAGAGAGAGAGAGAGATGTGAAAGAGACACATTAATCGGCTGCTTCCTACATGTCCCCAGCAGGGGCCAGGGATTGAACCCACAACCGAAGTACGTGCCCTTTACTGGGACTCAAACCCGCGACTCTTAGGTCCACAGGCCGACGCTCCAACTGCTGAGCCAAACAGCCAGGGCACCATGACAGTTTTGAAGAGAACTGTAGAATGTCCCTAAATTTTGGTCTAATGCTTCTTCATAATTAGAGATTATGCTTTCAGGCAGATACACCTCAGAAGTGACACTGTGTCCTTCTCAGTGCATCATACCTGAGGTACGTGGTTTCAACATGGTTCAGGAGTGACAATGTCAACAATGACAATGTTGATCTCTCAGTAAAGTGTCTGCCAGAATTTTCCACTGTGAAATTACTATTTATTCATGTGTAATTACTAAGCATCTCGAGGGGAGGTAATCTGAAACTAATCAAATAGCCTGCCTCTTATCCTACTTTTGCCTGATCACTTTAGTATCTGTTGATGATACTTTCTGACGATTAGTACTGTGATGTTTGCCAAATGGTGGTTCTCTATTCCCAACACTCTTTCTACATTTATTAACTGGAATCTTATTGTAAGAAAAAGTTAACCTTTCTTCCTACATATTCATTTATTTATATCAGTATGGACTCATGGGCATTAATTTTATCCCATTGTCATTATTATTTATTTTGCTGTTCAAGTTATGTCATCCTCTTTTGCAATCACAACCCATCTGTTTCCTGTTGAGCGGAATTTGCAGCCAGGGCTCACCAAACACCTACTCCCTGGTACACAGGGCAGGTTGCGGGGGGAGCTCAGAGCCTTTGCAGCCATGTTTCCCTGAAACTCACTGAGCCATCTTCCCAGCAAGGGCTGGGCTTCTTTCCTGAAACTGGGCAGATTTCAGTCAGGGGAAGTAGGTCAAGGCTACAAGATTAGGGTGTTCCAGGAAGGGCTGAGCCTGGCCAGGTAGGCCCAGGTCACCCCACCGCCTCAGTCAGTCATCCTGCTCTCCACAAACCCACCCCGATCCTGTGTGTCTCTCTCAGATCAATAAGCATATCCTTGGGCGAGGATTAAAAAACTAAAAAGTCGAGAGAGCAGTGCACAGCAGCAAGAAAAACTAGTCAAGGAGGAGGGGGACTTATAGGAGAAGCCTCTGGACTCAATTCTTTGCTCGAAGATTTGCAAGGAAGACGGCGGAATAGTTAAACTGGGCTCCCCTCCTCCTATGACCACATCAAAATTATAACTAAATTATAGAATAGCCACCACTGAAGAGTAGCTGAACAGAAGCTCTTATAATTAAGGCTAAACAAGGTAACATGGTAAGAGTGGAGCAGGAGAGTAAGAAGCTAGGAAAACTCCTGGGCAAGTGGAATGGGGAAACTGAACCAAGAAAATTAAGGCCCAACAGTTTGGGCAACTTTCAGCCAGCTTGTGAATCACAAACCTTATCGTCCCTAACCAAGGACATTTGAGAGCCAATAGTTCGTACCCTCCTCCCTAACCAGAAAATACATAGTTTAAATCACCCTGGCCTGGGAAAGTAGACAACAAAGACCCAAGTCATCCATCTGTGCCTGCTAAACCCGAGGACAGGTGAAGTTGGGGAACAACTAACAAAAAACACATTAAAACCAGACAGACCGCCCTGGCTGGTTTGGCTCAGCAGTTAGAGCCTCAGCCTGCGGTCCAGAGAGACCCGGGTTCGGTTCCCACTAAGGGCACGTACCTCAGTTGCAGTTTGTCCCCGGCCCTCGTTGGGTCATGTGGGTGGCAGCCACTCGATGTGTCCCTTTCATGTCGATGTTTCTCTCTCTCTCTCTCTCTCTCACTCGCTCCCTCCCACTCTATCTGAACAAAAAACAAAAAAATGTCCTCGGGTGAGGATAAAAAAACAAAACAAAAACAGACAGACCTAAAATAAAAGCCAAATAGTAAAACAGACCAAAGAATAATCCCAAATTTCCCTATGCTCATTTTGATGCATCAGCATATTAAAAATGTACCTGGAAAGCTGATGAATATTCTACTAAAATCCTTCCCTAAAATCCTCACCTGCAGGAAAAAAAAAAAAAAGAAGAAGAAGAAGAAAAAACCCTCAGGACAAAGACTTAATGCGGCTCGTTCTAAGCACACCCATGCCCTTTTTTGGGCATGAATTTTTTATTTCTAAGGGTCCCCCACAAGACTTGCAACCAGGGGAGCAGTGGGCAGCAGCAGCTCGACTCGGGCTCACCCCCTGATCTTCTCTCCAAATCTCGCTTTTCTCGGACTCCCAGCGAGCTAAACAGCCCCCTGGGCTCACTTCTTCCTGGTAACATTTCAGGAGGCCAAAGCAGAGTACCGCCTGGCCCTTCCCTGTTGTTCCTTCTACCCTCATTTCTTCCTTCGTTTTGCTGTCCCAACATTAATACACTTACTCTCAAACCCATCTGGACTTGAGCTGCAACATCTTTCCTCCCTGAAGTCAAGAACCCACACACCATAAGCTGGAA